GTGGCCCTTAAGGGAGTGGAGTGCCTCCTGGCCGACCTGGGCGAGCGTGTTACAAGCAGGGAGTTGGCTTCGGATAGCTCTGCAGCTCTTGGGATTTCCCAAGGGGCTGCATCCTGGAGGACACGTCATCTTCGCATTCGAGCAGGATGGCTGGTGGAGCAGATTCAGCATGGACTTATGTCAACGCGTCATTGTCCGGGAGAGTTTCAACCAGCTGATTTATTAACAAAACCACTAAGCTCTCAGCGACTTCGTGCTCTACTACAACTATGGAAGATAGGAGAGCCACCGTCCCAGGACCCGAAGTGCCAGGTTTCCCGCATGTCTATGTCAACATCGAGAATTACGGTGGCATTGGTGTGCTGCTTGCTGATGATGACTGTGGAAGCCTCTGAGGATCCCTCACAAGGTACTACCAACACTGGAGTGAAGATTGATGCCGATATGTTGACGGTTTTCATGATGATGGTTATGCTTTTGGGCTTGATCATGATGCGGGAGGGCATCAAATGGGTTTTTTTGGGAATTGATGTTGGAATGGACTCCAGGTTCAAGATCGCGAAAGCTGAGGCGCCTTGAAAAGCTGCGTGAGGCAACAGCCAAGGCAATCCAGGAGGAGATCGCGAAGATCGAGGCTGTGGAGCGTCCGACATCGACATCTACTATGACTTCGAGTTCAGCCCGGGCGCACCGGGAAGCACCCGAGGATCACAGCTCAGCTACAAGAGGACCGAGCCGCATAGGCGAATCATCCTCTTCGACGGACGGACCTACGACCGAGATTGAAGCGCTACTGTGGAGGAGGGCTACTGCGATGTCCTCACCTCCACGCCCTACGATGAGAGAGGCAACCTCTCCGGCGTTGAGTACGCCTACCGCGGAAGGACAAGAAGAAGTTGGTGATCAAGAATATCTGCGCGTGTGTGTGGATGCGGCTTCCTTAATGCGGTGTGAGGAACTAAGAGAAGCTCTTCGTCATCGTGGACTTCGCTCAACAGGGTTAAAGTCGGATTTGGTTACAAGGCTGGGCTATGACATGTGGACAAGGAGGTCGTCAAGTAACTCCCCTACAATACGGCAATACAAATATCTGTTGTGGTTGTGGCGTCATAAGGACCTTTCGGGCAGAGTTCTCTTGAAGATAGCAGATATTGAAGACAAGACAGCAGCCTCAAGAACTATAAGTTCGTGGAAGAACCTGGCGCCATCATGAAGGCAACTAAACCTCCCGCTTCAGTTGAGGAGGAGTGCTGATGGTCGAGTTCTGATTGATGTGCTTGGTGTCATTATGCCATTATACATCTCAAGGGGATGGCTACGAAAGGCCCTTTGAGCATGCTTCGTTGTATAGCAACAGCATAATGCCTGTATGGCATAGAAGCAGACTGCTCAACCTGTATAGAGATACTGATGGCTAAGCAGCGACGCACACTGTACACTTAGCGGTCGCTCAGTCAATACTTGAGTGTCGTTTGTCGGCGTAAAAAGAGTGACTACCTCAATTCGTGATGCCTGGAGCCATGGGTTTCATTTGAAGAAAACCGCTGGCTAGCATCGATGAGCTCTGAAGCTCAGCAAAACCCTAAACCCTGAACCCGGAGCCCTATTCCTACCGAGCTGCCGTGTAGTGCCCTGGGTTGCTGTCCGTATCGCTGTCCCCGCGACAGGCCGAACTGCCTTGAGCAGGGTCAACAATAGGGTTCAGGGTTTAGGGTTAGCTAGAGCGCTTATAGTAAATCGTGGAAGGAACCCTTTGTAGTACTTTGGGGTTTTCGGGGGAGTCCTTCTGTTGGAAGTTGGAAGACGTTCATGAAAACAAGGGGTGCCTTAAAACGATTTGCCACTTCTTGTTGGGAACACCTCCAAACCGACCACCCTAAACCCCAAAGCCGTCCGAAAGACACAGAAAAGAAAAACCCAAAAATAACCCTGCAACACGCCCTTAAACCCTAAACCCTAAACCTAAATCCTAAAACTCATTCCTAAACCCTACAACCCAAAATCCCAAACCCCTCATCCCGAAAAACCGAACCCCGACCTGGAGAGCCCACAGCTTCCCAAGACCGGTCTCCGATGATGTCCTCACGATGTAAGGTGCAGGACCTCTATCTATCCATCCATCCACCCATCCATCCATCCATCCATCCATCCATCCATCTATCTATCTATCTATCTATCTATCTATATGTGTACATATATATATATATTGATTGATTGATTGATTGAGTTCATGTAGGGGCCGTAATCATTGGAATAGGGTTCTGGGGTATATTAAACTATAGTTATCACAAGGAACCCCAGAATGGTAAAGGTAATTGTTTAGGCCCCTATATTGGGTTTTAGCGGATTGATGCCAGCACAGGGGCTTCAGGATTTCGGCTGTCCGGCTGTAGGAGTTACAGGGCTCAGGGGTTCACAAAACGTAGTATGTTGGACTTTCGGAGACACGGAGGCTTCAAGATTCAGGGGTTTTTAGGCTTTAGGAGTGAGGTTAGCTTAGGAACCAAAAAGGTACAGGGCTGCGGCCCCCATCTCCAGGGTTTTCGGGTATTCCCAAAAACCCTCAACTCTGGATTTCTTGCACCCAATACCCCAAACTGCAAAAACCCAGGGTTTTGGGGGATTCCAGCGTTCCGGGTGCTTAGGGGGCCCAGGGTTGGCAGCCCTTGCGCTGCCGTCTGGTCCTTCTCGCGCAGGCCGGCGGAATAGCTGAAGCAGAAATACCTGGGCTTAGGGTTAAGGGTTCAGGGTTCAGGGTTTCGGGTGTATTCGAGGTTTAAGGTTCCGGGTAATTTCTGAACCCCTCCTACAAGATATACTTGGGAGAAGGCCCCCCAAAAGTGATCAAACAAGCCAACGAGGAACAACCAAAGTAGTCTTGCTGTATATTTCCAAGATAGAACCCTAAACCCTAAACGATCATAATATACAAAGCCAAAAAGCTTAATGTTCTCCCATTGGCAAACAACCAAGGTACTCTGGGTGTATAGGGGTGTACGGCCTCCGCGAGACGTCGTTGATCCTGTGTAGGGTTTTGGGATTCGGGTTTAGGCTTTAGGGCTTATGCTTTAGGGTGTAGGGTTGAGGGTTTAGACGTCATTGGTCCTGCGATTCCAGATCTCACATCGGCCGTTTGTGAACTCGAAGCCACGGCAGACGGGAGCTGCGACGCACCTGCGAGGGCAGGATGTCTGTATGTTCTGCGGATCCTTCTTGAAATACGTGGGGGTTGCTGAACACGTGGGCCCCTTATTCAGCGGTCCGGATCCTTCTAAATTTGCTGCTGCTACTTGGTGTCTATACTGTGGTGCGCCGTTTCCTGATATATCACCACCTCGAAGGATCTCATTGATGGATCTCTGTTGGGATTCCTTCCGAATGTAAACTTGGGCTCACTCTAGCTACAAGTACGATTTAGGGTTTAAGCGGCTTAAGCCTTTAAAGCTCATTATGGGTTAGGGAAGCTAGGTTTGGAAGCATCCACACCTTGCTCGACAATCCTGAATGAGTGCTGTGGATGCCACTGTGTAGTAACTTGGATCAGTGTCAGCCGGATCGTTTCCACGACATGCATATGACAGGTAGCGGTTACTGCTGTACTCCTTCTGCAGGTGGAAGCTTCCGGCCCATCCATAACGCATGCAGGTGAAGCCGCTGAGATTCTTTGTCATGAAAATCCCCTCCGGTCGTGTCCAGAGTTCGCAACGGCCAGTGCTGTACTCTATGCCTTTGCAACTCGGGAATTGCTCCCAACATCGTGTTTTGCACTCTTCGATGTCTTTTGCCGTCACCACCTGGAAAGAGCGAAGGTATTCAGCGAAGAAGGCATGGTTAAGCTCGTTTAAGCTAGACCTCTGTGGCGCCCCCTAGAAAAGATGGAACCCGAAACCCCTGAGTAATAAACTCCCCCAAATCCAAAATTCCTGCGAATTGCAGCTCCAGGATCTTTGTAGTGGCTGGGGGAGTTGTCGTCCAGGCTGCTCCCGCGACAGGCGCTGCTGTTTGCAGCTCCCACCAACTCCCATCGTCTGTCTCCTCGAGGATCCGGCGTTGTGGTGGTGGGTGGGGCACAAGACTCCGCGACACCGACGCTCCAATAAGAAGGAAAGTACGTGGTGGTGGTGGTGGTGCTCGCTGTGACTGTTCCACTTGGCACGCAAGTATGGCATTCACGGCCCCACAACCTGATGTTCGGCAAAGAGGTGGGGTTTAGGGGGATGGGTTTGCTGCTGAAGACTCCTATGGGTTTCGGGCTTTGAGTTTGGGGCCTGGGCTTGAGCCCCTACCCAAATTTTCGCGCAACTTTAAAGCTGCCCCAAAGTGCCAGCTAGTTATTTGCTATTTAGCTTGGCGGCCACAGTCCCATCTCGTTCTGCGGACAGTCATGTTCCCAGCCACTCGTAACGTGGTGCTCCACACGTGTAGCATAGCCTTCTGCCTCGTTGCAACCGTAGCATAGCAACAACGGCGCTGAAAGCTCATAGCCCGCAGGACAGTTGAGGTTGGCCACAACAAAGGGGGGGCAATCGGAAGAGCAGTCACTGGCATTGGGCATCACAGCGGGAGGCGGAGGGGGGTCAGATGAGACACATTCGCAACACTCCCGCCGTCGAGTGACATCATCCTTGACGCCACATCCTCCTCCTTCCCAAGTCGCTGCAAACTCCGAAGATTTGAAATGGCTTCCAAAGTCTGTGCAGCGGCTTTTGTCGGAGTCACAGCAAACATCCTGGCATTCGAGGGAGCCGTGAAGGCAGGTCAACGCCCAACCCTGCGACGAATCCCATTTGCCGCCAGACCATCCCGTAACGCGCACGGGTGCGCTTACAAACCTTGCTGCGGGGAAGACCACAAGGTTAGATAGGAGCACCAGCAAAGATATCGGCGGGCACATGGCTTCGAACGAGGACAGCCTTCTGATCAACTGTGAACCGAAACCTCATCGTCGGACTTGAGCACTTGGCGCGCTGCCGTATGTAGCAGCGCACTATATACCAGCCACAAAGACATTGAATCTGGACCTCAACAAAGACATATTGTGTACATATGTCATTAAGTATATTTGTGTATATACGTATGTGTATGTACGCATGTGTATGTATATAGATAGATAGATAGATAGATAGATAGATAGATACATACATACATACATACATACATACATGCGTGTCTACCCAATGCCAAACAGCGCTTGAGTCCCCAAGTATTAGAAAAGGCTGACACAGTATGCGAGTTTCCCAGTTCCAGGCGAAATCGTAGGGACCCCCAGTATGGCATAGTGTAATATTGTATAGTATACAGTATACTAGAGTATACGATACTCGGCTGAGCATCCCCGCAACCGCGAAAGGTGCTCTGGATCTTGAGAGCCGCATTCTCCACCGCCTGCCGTGATTGAAAACGGTGTAGGGCTTAAGGAGTTTACATCAATCTATTGATGAGGAAACTACTCGGGGAATTCCAAGGACCCTTGACCCCAAACTCTACAACACCTAAACCCCAAACCCTAACAGCCCTAAACCCTAAAACCCCCCAACCCTAAAACTTAAACTCAGCCCGGCTCCTCCTCGCGATCCGCGTGCACCCGAAGCTCGCTAAGATCCCGCCGGCAGATCCAGGAGCCTGGGGCTTGGGGTTTGAGACGGTCAGGGATTAGGGTTTAGGGTTAGGGATTCGGGCCTAGGTTCCTTTTTTTTTATGGGCCGTTTTGCGTCAGCATGGGCTGGAGACTCACATGGAGCCGGCTTGGCGGTGGTGCAGCTGCTGCTGCTGCTGCTGCTTGTTGCATGCTGCTTGTTGCATGCTGTTGTCGCCAGTTGTTTATTGCTTGGTGTTCGGTGACGGTTCTCTGTTGTTTGTTGTTTGTTGGTAGCTGTAGCTGTAGCTGTAGCTGTAGCTGTAGCTGTAGCTGCAGCTGCAGCTGCAGCTGTAGCTGTAGCTGTAGCTGTAGCTGTAGGTGCTAGTGCTGGTGCTGGTGCTGGTGCTGGTGCTGGTGTTGGTGTTGGTGTTGGTGTTGGTGTTGGTGTTGGTGTTGGTGTTGTTGTTGCTGTTGTTTTTGTTGTTGCTGCTGCTGTTAGTGGCTCAAGCTTTCAGTGAAGGTGCTAAGCGGCATGGTTCGCAAGATGCTGGGTTGCACACCCGGGTTCAACAGCTGCAAACATGCTCAGGCAGAGGGGTGAGCTTTGGGTGTGAGGTGTCTCGGCGTGGTGTTGAGCTTGCACTTTTCGGTTTTTCAGTCTGGGGCTGCGGATGCACTGCACATTGTTTGCGGGAAGACCTGGAGCGGAAGCTTGTGTAGTTTACTGCTGCTTCTTGGTAAGTCTTCCTCAGTCCGAGACTCTTGCTGCTACAGGCATCAACCACGGTAGGCAAAGAGCCTGTTAAGGAAATAGTTCTTAATACGGCTTGACAAAGCACCGTGCTGCCTTCGAGTGGCAGGCACAGGTGCATGTTTTGTCTACACACATCTCCCACAGTTTCATTGCCGACGGCTTCGAAAGTCAGTTTAGCTTTTGTTGAATGGGAAGTCAGCGATATGAACCGGAACACTTTATCGCCCAGAGTCTTCGCCTACCGTCCCTTCAATCCTAACTCGAAACTATTGCCTGCACCTGTGGCCCCTGAATCAACGAAGCAAGCCTCAAGCCCTAAACCCCCTAAACCTATGATCTTTAAACCCTAAACCCCAATTCAAAACTGAATCCCAAAACCCACGAGGCCGCCGACCACCTCGCTACGGACAATAAACCCCTAATGAAGCCCTCAGCCCTAACGCCAGAAACCCTTAGAGTGACGGCTTAGGGTTTATAGTTTAGGAACCCTAAACCCCTAAATCCCAAATCCAAAACACCTAAAATCTGCGCTTGGGGCTCTCGGATGTTCTGCGGTGAAGCCACGGATCTGGCCACGGATGACGCGCGCGGCGCGATGGATGAGCCTTCGGCGCACCTTCGAGGTCCAGAAAAGGAAGGCCGTTGGGCCTAGGATGGTAGGGTTTTGGGCTTTAGGCCTTAGGGTTTAGGGCTTTAGGGTTTAGGGTGTAAGGCTTTAGGGCTTTTGTGCTAAGATTTTGCGGGGTGCACTACCATACGTCGCACACGGATCCCTTCAAGGGCGTGTTGCGCGGAACCCGTGCGGTGTAAGGTTCAGAGTATCGGGTTAAGATATGGCTGAGCCTTTAGGACTTTAGAGTGTCAGGGGAGTTGGTTTGGGATGGAGGCCTTATGGTTCAGGGTTTAAGGTTTAGGGTTTAAAGTTTGTCACGGTATCGGGCTTAGGCTGTAGCTGTATGGAGTTCAGGGTTAAAGGCTGAAAGGGTGTAAGAAGCAGGGGTCAAAGTTTGGAGCGAAGAGACTAAGGAACTTACATTAAGTTACAACAATAAGGACACCCGATTACTTACGATGTATCCCCGTTATGGTAACTTGAATTGAATAAGTCCCTTAGCAACAACCCAGAAATCTCTTGGAAGGCAGTGGCTGACACATGGTGCCACACTGACTGGATCCTAAATACTTATTTCGATCCCTGCGTGCTGAACATGCAACTTCAGTGCATGGCAAAATCTACACCCCTGACCCAAAACACTAAACCTGAAAATCCTGAAACTCTAAACGGTAAACCCGAGTTCTAAGCCCAGACAGAAGCACTAAACCCTCAAGCCCAAACCAGAAACCCAAGCCTTCTCAACCCCAAGCCCGAAATCTAGGCTTCAGGGCTTAAGGCCGGTTTAGGCTTTAGGAAACCAAGACTGCCTCGACCTCCACCTTGGCCATGTTCGCCCGCGCGATGCGTTGAATGCGTATCTTGCCAAGGATTTTGGGTGCAGGATGCTAACATAGAAGACTGAATACTGAGTTATGCATTCCCCCTTTCGTGCCTAGAGTTTATACTGTCATGTAATTACCCTGAAATTGCAAAATCCTCGGAGGAGATTGCCAGGAATCAGTGTCCGAGATTCTATGGCTTTAGGGTAACGGAATAGCTGGAAAAAGGTCTTGTAAGGTGCTTGCACGGGGCTTGATAAGGTTCCTATAACACATTATGCAGTTGTTCGAAAATCAGGCTTACAGCTGTGTGGGTTTCACTGGCACCTAGACGTGGAACTTTAAATCACACGACGCTTCTCCAAATCCAAATCAACCGTTGTGGGTGTATCACGCTTTGGGTTTGGGGGATATATAGGGTCTTCATGCTTGTAAACCCTGTTGAAAGCGCATGGGTCTTGTTCAAAGAGTGGGCCACTCTGACGAGCCCATAACCCGAAGACCGAAGGAGGGGTCTTGATTAAGACACCCCCCCCCCCCCTCCCCCGCGCTTGCTCGAGCAACTTCTGTCTAGGCTCCCGGACGGCTGCATCGACGGCCTGGAAAAGTCTTGGATTCTTCTGGTACAAGGTGTATAACTGTCTAACCGAAACCCTAAACCTCAAACCCATGAGGGTCTTGGGTTTTATGGTTGAGGGCTTTAGGGTTGAAGAAGGGCTACCCGTCCTGCATTTGTGCGATAAGTAATTATGCCTACACCTACTCCTACTGTATATACTCCGTGTGTAGACATATGTATACATATGAAGACAGAGAGAGAGAGAGAGAGAGAGAGAGAGAGAGAGACACACAGGCAGACAGACAGACAGACAGGCAAACAGAGAGATTCAGGTTCTTCGCCGTAGTTGCTGAGTCCCAGGATCCCGTAAGTAAACCTCATAGAACCTTTACAGAGCTCAAATAGGCGACCTAGGCATATGCTTGAAGATGTAAACCCGAACTGAGCACTGAGAGCTCGGATGGGCCAGCCAAAGTCTTAGCATCATCGCCTGGCTTTGGGTGCCTTATAAAAAGCCTTAAAAACCCTAAGCCTAAAGACTCTAAACCCTAACTCCAAGATGGCTGAAACTTTAAAACCCGAACGAGGTCCGGGACTCGAAACTCGGTAGCACCGTCACTTGCGCCCA